CTTGAGCGCTGGTCGTGGCGCAGTTTACCATAAAACAGACTCTCTGGCAGGGGTTTATCAGCTGCAGCAGACTGACTGGTCCGTGTCACTACTTAGGCCTGAATGGTGTCCATTTAAGTTCTGGTGTCTGGGACCCCTGCTGGTGACACACTTAACAACATTTTGTCTTTATAAAGTTTAAAATGTCAAACAGAGAAGGAAGTCGTTGTGTTGGTTGATGAGCCAGACAGAATTAGAAAAAAAAAAAAGTATTTGTTCCTGACGTCGAGTCACTAATGTTGGTGTTTGGTGGAGAGGAGAAGGTAGATCAGGCCGGAGCCATAGTTACACAGAACTGTCTGCAGTTCATGGATACTGACAGTAGGGTTAAAACAGAGATAATGTTTTTTTTAACTCAGGAATGAATGTTATTGGGAAATGCAGGACGAAATTCAATTTAGAAAATTAAAAAACTGAAATTATAATTGGTTTATTTTAAGAAATATATTATGTTGATTGTAAAAAGCTATTTTAATTTTTTAGGTGAATGCCTCAAACTTGTAAAACACTCATGTACATTAGTATAAAACTCAAATTCAAATTAGGGTAAAGTGAATTATTTTAGTATTGAGATCCTGTCAGGTATATATAAAAATAGACCTCATCAACGCATGAACAAAAAACCCAAAAACGGTGACCTTTGAGTCAGAGATGTCCTTCTGATAAAGGCCATGCCTCTGTGGCTCTCTATGCAAATGCTGTTTTAGCACAGCCTACAGGGATTTGGACCGTCTCTCAGGAGGCAGGGGACGGTGCCTTCAGTGGTTCTGGATATTCTGATCCATCCCAGGGGTTTTATATTTCCGAGGTTCAGAATTAACCCATCAGCTGGTGAGTCCCACAGTCAAACCCTGGCTCTGTCCCTTTCCACATCATCTTTAAAGGACAGTCATCACGCACACACAGCAGCAGCAGAGATTACACAGAGGAGAATCAAAACAACGACGGCGGTGCCAGGAGAGAAGACTTCTTGCAGCGACACTGGCTCCGAGTCAAGTTGGAGTCTTTATCTGGCACAGTTTCAGTCCAGATTTTGAAACAGATCACATCAATTTACAGCGCTGCATGTTTTGTCAATAACACCAGATTAATGGACAGAAATAGCTGGCAGTGGAGTCGTCGGGAGCCTTACATCTGTCTTTTTCTCACCAGGTTTTGTTTCTTGTTAAGTTTTCCACAGCATACGAGGATTGTCTCAGCAGAGGAATACGACACTGTGCTGTTCATCTACAGCAGCTTTGGTTAAAAACGATAACCATTTTAACAGGTTTCCATTCAAGTTTGGGAAAAAATTGGTATTGTTTTTTTTTTCCTAGATTTAAAATAACAGTGCTTAATTTTGAAGGTTAAAAAAACCCTGATCAATACAATGTAACGACAATTGACAAAAAAACAAAAACAGAACAATTTTTGACTCCCTCCAATCGTGGAAACACATCTATGGATATATGCATAGGTTAATTTAAAAAGATATGTACTCACACCAGCTGTTCTTTGTCGATGTTTCAGCAAATATACTGGATTTCCAGGCCAAACTCTGTAAAACGTACAAAAGTGTGACTGGGTTGAAGCCGTGCTCGGCTGTCCTGCCTGCGGTCCAGATCTGTCTCCTACTGCAAGTAAAATGATAATAATAATGAGAATATGACAATGTTAGCGTTAAATAGTTTGTTACGATTAATATCCAGGAATATTGAGCAGAAAAGATTTAAGAATGACAATAATGATTATGATTAATTCAGAGACACCGTGAGATTAAACTATTAAAAATCCTAACCATTTGTTCAACGTCACCACCGGCCAATGGGACGTCGGCATCAGCTGCAGGTTCATCTGAGCAGATGCAGATGTGAGGGGTGGTCTTTGAACAGAGCAGGGACAATAACGTGGCCTGTCTGTGTGTTATGAATAAGCAGCTCTTCAGAGTGGGATTAAAGTGCTGTTGGTCTTCCATCACTCTGACTGCCCCCCCCCTTCCCCTGGTAATTGGACTATTCAGAACGACACATTCACCTGAGAGCATGCGCCCCACCTGGTCAAAACAGCAGCGTGCTAAACAGTTACGTTAGAGCTTTATTCCTGAAACGACTGGGTATCATACAATGTCTTCAATGCATTCAGAGAACCAGATTTCATGGCGTGGTTTCAGTAAACAGAGTCAGAAGAAGGGCTGTGGTTTCACCCTGTGGCTATATAGAGAATAGAGTCGTTATAATATTATTGCTTTCATCACAGAGGAGAGAAAATATCCACCCTTACAGACAGGAGGTGCTGTTTCTCACACAGACCTCTCTCTACCTCTAACCAGTAACACCTAAGTTAAAAATCTAGCAAAGCGTCTCCTGTGTCCACACAGACCTACAGACCTGCGGAGTCCTCCACCGACCTGCCGACCAAACACAGCGACTACTGTATTGTGACAAAATGCCCGTAAATGACTTGGAATATTATAGGGTATAGTACTGTAACTGCTTTGTGCTTATCGAGTACAAACGTTGGACTCTTTCAACTTAAGTGTTACTTAAATAACTAAGTGAAACTTTGTAGCGTTGTGCCCAGGTCACATGATGCTGATAATGCATTTCTAATGTAAAAACAACAGTCAGTGTATAAGAAATGGCCGAGCCTTCAGGTTCTAAGAGATAACATACATATATATATATACATTTTTATATATTTATATTTGTATGTACATTGTTTTTGTCCTTTTGTTACATTTCTGTTGCTTTGTCTTTGTTTGTTTTGTCTACTTTTTTCAACTTATCCCAGCGGTCCATGCAGACCTTTCTATTTTTATGGCTTTGAATTGTTAATTTCTTAGTAGTGAAAAATCATAATTCTAATGTATGTGTTACAGATGATCAAAAACTTCTTCTTCCACAACATTTTTCTGCAAATTTTGTCTTTGCAGCTTTGAACTTCATTTTTAGGTTTTTTAACTTTTCGGCTTTAAATGTGGCATAAAATGTACGTAATATTTCAGTTGCAATTTGAAATTTCTTATTTCTTATTGGTTGTTGTTATATATGCAAACATAGACATATATATACGCATGTCACAGTCCGAATACTTAAACGTCAAGTCATGTAACTTGTGCTTTACCGTCTATTTTGCTCGAAAGAGAATCGATATGTTCAGGATTTCGTTTCTTATTTTTCATATTAGTTGCAGATTTTTTTTGTTCAGATTCTATTTGCTGCATTGCTTCAGAGAAGTACTTTTCCGCTTCCTGTGCGCTACGTTTACAACCAGATGGCCACGTCCATTTCTTATAAACAACTCAAGAGTCAAAGACATCATCGAGCAACAAGTTCGGCTTTTGATCGTCTAATAAAACCATACAATCGCACATGGTAAAATAGTCTAAATATGAAATACCAAAAATACTGCTATGAACAAACATGGAAATGGAAACAAGGTAATATAGTTAAGGCTAAACATCTTTGTCTATTACCTTTGTATAGCTAAGTCAATAGAGGAGCATGCAATCAACAGAACATTGCCACAACTTTTACATTAAACAACAAAAGCAGTCAACTCAAAACAAACGAGTGTGCCCGTCGCACCACAAACCAGAACCGTGTCGTGGAGGGTTTTCACCCGGGGAAATTGGCTTTTTATTTTTCCACTGTCAGTCGACTCCCCGATGAAAGTGTTTGTTGTAAAATAATATATCGATAAATGACATGCCGGAAATTATTGAGATTCAATTCTACATGCGTTGTTTCTTACATGCCAGATTGTGCTAATTGTACATCATCCCTAAAAAAAAAAAAACAAAAAAAAAATGAGTCACATCTTCCGTCACAGCATGTACGCCGACATCTGGAGACAAATGTGCTCGATTCCTTCAGCCTACTCTTCATAAGGTATTTGTGCACATATTCTACATTTCTTGGTATATAACAATGTTGTTCGTTAATAAATTAGGATCAGTACAAGGACTCCAGGAGGGAAACAAAGTCGGAGGAGCGTAGGCTATATTAATATCTCTGTCTGCTTTATGTAAAGCGATCGGAATTCATTTTTCTAAGTTTGGGGGGTAAATGGCCGTCCATCCTGCCTCCTCCTCCTCCCCCAGCCAGTCGCTGCAGTTTGGGAGGTAAGTCTGCCACTGACTTGCTCATGGGCTCTGTGCTCATCTTGCAGCTCTTACCGCCCTGCTTGTCATCAGACACACCAGGAACAGAGCTGATCCGCTGCAGCTTCATGGGCAGGTCTCCGAAACTGTAAGTCATCTCTGAGGTGGTGGAGCTCATCCTCAGGAGCTTCTTGGGCAGGCCGTCCCGTCCCGTGATCTTCTGGAGCTTGGTGGGCAGCTTGATTGCGCTGTCATTGTCCTCCAGGGCCTCCAGACAGTCCAGGGAGCTGTTCTTCTCCCCGCTGTTGCACAGGGAAGGAGCCATGAGAGGCGAGGACAGAAGCAACGCCTCCTCCTGCTCTTTCACGCTGTACGGAGTGGTGGGGACCTCGAACGTGGCATGGAATTGAGAGTAGTCCACCTTAAAGAAGCCTTCCTCCAAGGAAATAACCGGGAAGAAGCGGTGCCCCCACAGAACCTCGTCCTCGGTGTAGGAGGTCCTGGCTTGACAGGTCATTCCTGTGAAAAAAAAAAAAGAAAAGCAAAAAGATTAAAGCGTTAGAAATAGAAAAACATGAATGTGCCATATTGCATCCTGAAACAAAAAATATTTCATGGCTCCTGTATTTAACGACAGATCCTGCAGCCATTCTGTGCCTGGCACTGTTCTAGAGGAATCAACTGTTCCATTTACACCAGGGTTTTTGCCATCATGAAACAGACAACACAGAATAATCCTAATATTCCAGGAAGGTCGTTTACTTCAGCTGACTCTGAAAACCTGATGATTTTATGTTGACCGGATATTTCTTTCTAAGTAATCTTGACGAACAAATACTCAGTAAAGTGAGTTCATGATTCAGTCATATGAGACTCGGCTTCCTCCGACAGACACGGTCTGTGAAAATGCTGATTAATAGCAAATGTTGTCAAACAGTATAACAGATGGTGGAAGGTTTTCTAAGGATGGGCTGCGTAGCTTGTAATTTTCATCAACTTATTGGAGAAAAAAAAAACGATTTTGTTGGTGCTTGAAGACACAGTCAGACTTATAGGTAGTAACATCGATCGTCACCTGCTGTATTTGTTTCCCAGGTTAATTTTACTCTGTGGTAAAGTGAAAGTTCTCATCAATTATTCACCATTTTGGTATTTAAAGATGTGGGGTGTTCAACCCCAGGGGCGGGGGGTGGGGGCAGGGCACTGCAGGTGTAAAGGGTTAACAAGACACAGGTGGGCAAGGCTAGGCAATTACCTCCCCTGGGGGGAAACCGGTGTAAATGAGGAAGGATGAACGCCAATGGAGAGGGTGGAGCCCCCGGGGGAGAGACGAGGTACCACCGAGGAAAAAGAAATGATCCAAAAATAACTGCAGGATCACGGGACAAATGGAAGTCCAGTTAGCAGATGTAACGATCATTAGTTGACTAGTGTTGATCATCCCTGAGGTGAACTATATTGAATAAAATCAGGCCAATCGACAAACAATATATTATTATAAGAAAAACTGTTCAAAAATCATTTTTAGCATGCGTTGTACTTTGTGTATTTGTATTTGGATGTACACTACATCCTGCAAATGTGGCGCAGGGTATGAAATGTGATACACTTTGATAGTAAATCTTGCCTTACAGGCAAGTGTGAATTAAATCAGTTTAATCCCCATTCACGTCCTCAGCAACAAACTCAGGCAATTAGCCGAATCAGCCGGTTCGAATTAATCATCTACCTTTTTTTTTTTTCAAACACGTGGTTATTGGATGCTTATTAGTGAAGTGAAAACTCATTACCATTGTTGAGCAGCTGCTATCATATCTGCCCGTGCGGTATGAAATGCTACACTGCTTACAGCCATGCCTCATTCATCCTCGTACACATTCTGTGCAATACGACAACCTTAATTTATTTGAAAACCAAAAAAAAGTATTCGTTAATTAAAAAAATATGACAAAAATTGCTTCCAAAACCCCTTTTTTTAGCACAGGGAAGCGGCTGGGGTATTCATGTTAGGTCTTGTTGAAATCCATTAGGAAATCAGCGGCTGCAGTAGGTCATTATCACGTGTTTTAATTACCAGCCTAATACAGTTCTGGCAGCGACAGTTGGGTCCACAGCACTCATTCACAGCGAGGCGCCGCCACGGATTGTGGAAATGTCATCATCAAAACTGGAGGCATCTGTGATTTCGCTCAATTCCCAAGGTCATAAAATAATCCAGCGACAACGGCGGCGTACACGACCGCAGATGTGCGAGAAGAGAGTGATCATCGAGCGAGTTTGGGCTGTTTAAATGTATCGCTTCTGCACCAGTGCTTCAGAGTTCCGAAGCCTTCAGGCACATTGACGTACGCAACAGTTAACAGCAGAAGAGAAGAACCACGGAGAACTTTCTGACTGACGTGATGAAGCATTTGGACGGAAATCTTCTGGTTTGTTGAGCCTGTTCGCTGCTCTCAGCCAAAAACACGGTCACTCTCTCATCACCAACAGCCTCTCCCTGTGATGCAAGTGCACAGTAAGAACAGTTACTAACACACAAACTACCACCACTGGTGTGGAAAAACAGTCAGATTACAGTAAATGTGTCCTCGGTACGGCTGCACCCTGGGTTTGATTCCACCAGGTCAGAAAAGTCCCAGGTTGGGTTGCGTCATCCGGTGTAAAACGGTGTTTTTCGGTGAATGTCGGTTGGGTTTTCTGATGAAAGATGGCGTCTTAGGCTTGCTCTCTTTCGTCTTCTCTGATCTCTTCAGAAAACGTCTCCTGATGTTTTCCAAAGGGTCCACAGACAGGTGTGTTCTACGGGTGAGATCAACCTCCCCCATTCACACCGTGACCCTGGTGTTGACTCCTTCTGTTACCCCCACCCCTTTGGGGACAGAAATGTTTTCACACCCGATTCGAAATACTATTAAGAACCTGATACCATGTATATTTTTACCTGTACAAACCACTGTATGAGTTGCTGCCCCCTAGTGACTGGAGGCTTGTTATCGTTCATGCATTACAGCAGTGGTACACTTCTGTCTATATGCGTGCCATATTCCATTGGAAGCCCCTTACATCCAACCTGGCACCTTACCACGCCCCCCCCAGGGGGGCCTAGCCTACAGGTAGTACTCCCCCGACCCCCCACTCCTATTAACACCTACTGTAGACAAATTCAGTTGACCACATACTATATGAAATGTCGGAACTGAAGAAGCGTCAAACTCAACCTTTCAGCTCTGGTCTCATTCATAACAAGAAAAAACAAAAACTTCAAATAAAAAAAAATAAAATAAAAAAATCGAAGGTCTTTTCTGAGGTGGTCACGAAAAAGACATCATATTCATTAGGAGTGACCAGGAGTGACAGTATTATAAATGAGTGGCTCAGAGTGGCAGCTGAGGTTGAAATATATTTATATCTATGCAGGAAAAAAAAAAA